TGGTTTGTGTGCACTGAACTTATGACCTATTACAGGTTTAAACCAGTTTCTGATCACTTAAATCGGTTTATGTGTAATGTCTGTTCCTAGCCATGAACATCAAAATTTGTCTGGCAAGGGTTATTCTTTCCACCAGTGGTTTTCAACTTGTGGTCCATGCACCTCTGGGGGTCCACAGACTATGTCTAATGGGTCTGCAAAAGATGACTGTGATCAATCAAAAGTATGTGAATACCCACACTTATAATTCAAAGAGGACTACACCTTCACTCAAAATTTCCAAAGGGGTCTGCACCTTCATTTGATAGTTTTTAGGGGTCCATAAATGAAAAAAGGTTGAAAACCACTGCTCTACACCCATGTTGGTTCGTGCGTATCTATAACAGTGTGTGTGGCATATGTATCTTTTTCCTTATGCATTATGTTCCATTAATGGATTGATTCTACACACAGAACTGTAATTGCCAAGATCATGCTAATCTATATCCTTTCACATGAAACTGGAGAAAAGCAAATGCAGTACCAGTATTTTCATAGGTGCTCACCTCTATTTTCCAACTGTAACTAATTTCTGTGGCTCTACATACAGAATTTACCAAAGGAAGAAAATAATTTTAAAAATTAAGAGATCCCAATAATGAATCTGAAGGTGACTAGTATTTGTGGCATCTGCCTAGTTATGTATAGGTGAGAAGAGCACACTATTTTAATGGCTCTATTATGAGCAACTTTGAGCTGTGGGCACTTTATGTAAATGTGCTCAAATTTTCTCTTGCCATTGTACAGAGGTCTGCAGCTCTATCTAAGATTTAGGGGGCTGTGGCACTCTGCAGTTCCCCTGGGTTATGCCATTCGGACTGGGGCTTGTTGGAAGGATGCAGTTTCCCTCACACGCGTCCATATTCCCTTCTGCAAAGTTTGACTGAGGAGGCTCAGTAGCATGTGGGAAGTTCTTAGCACTTTGTATTGGTCCTCATTGCTATTTGTAAGGTCTGTTTTTCTGCTCTGGAATCTGTGGCAAGCCTCCTGTCACTAGAAGTGGTTCCTGTGACTCCAGTAGAATGAATGCAGGTGCCTGTGGTGGAATGAGGCAGTTCTTTTCGTATCTTGAATCTAGCTAAATGCGTTGGGAGGTTCAGCATCAATTTAAACAGTATCTCCTTACAGAAGGTGCCTGTTTTGACTGTTCTAAACCCAATCTTGCAAAGTTGGAATTTTTAGTAACAGGCTACAGTAGTTAATGGGATTTGGCTATCTTTCTACCTTGAAAGAAATAACTGCCTATCAAATATTACTCTGCAAATATTACCTTATAACACATAGCATGTGAGATTTGACTTTGTTGGATTCATTAGTTCTTAGGCAACTGGGGCAAAATGCCAGAGGACTTAGCTGGTAGACCTATTTTTACAAAAAAAAATTACCTTGTTTCACAGTACTGTGCAGATTTTACTCGACATAATTAGTAAAGATTGTAAAATTGATTTTGCATTTGATGAGGGTGTTTTTAGAGGTGCACTGATATATTGGTCTGATACTGGGTCGGCACTGATATAAAGAAAGTTGACTGTATTGGAAATAGGCCTGATGTGGCTGATAATTTGGCTGATAAATGCACGCAGCCACACTGCAGCATGCCAGCTGCAAGGAGCACAGCCCGGCAGCCTGGAGAGCTGCGTGCAGCTGGTAAGTCTGTTGTGGTGAAAGGGGAGGGGGGAGAGAAGAGGTGTGGTGGGGCAGATCAATGCCCCCTGCAGTGAAGGAGGGAGTGGGGCAGGGGCTGGGGTAGGTGCTGCCCAGCCAAGGTGCAGTGGGTGCAGGATAGAGCCGCAACTTGTTTGTGGGGAGGTGGCTCCCACTGCTGCACGCTGCTCATTTGGGAGCTGCTTGTCTGGCAGCTTGTCCAGAGCTTGTCTGCTTGTATGACAGCTCCTGCTGCTGCTCCCACTGCTTGTCCAGGAGGATGTGGAGTGGGAGGGATGTGTGCCCCCGGATCTGCACAGGGCAGGCCAGGCGGGCTGCAGCTGTGGGCTGGGGCCAGGTGCCATGCTGTGCTCAGGGCAGGTGGCACTGGGAGGGGACTACAGGGGTGCTATGGTGAAATTTGGAGTGGCTGCAGCCCTCCCCCTGTAGCTCCCTCCCAGCACCCCTGTGGCCCACCCCAAGTGCAGTGCAGCCTCCACAACTGCAGCCTGCCCTGCCCTGTGCAGGTCTGGGGGCACATGGATGAGCAGTGGGAGCAGCAACAGGGGCACCCCCCATACCCCACATCTCCCGGATGAGCTGTGGCTCCATCCTGTGCTTGCCCTGCTACAGCTGTTCAGTGCCAACCCCAGCCTCAGCCCCTTCCTCACTGTGGAGGGTGTGGATTTGCCCCACCATGCCCCTTCCCTCCCCCCTCTACTTTCACCACAACAGACTTACCAGCTGGATGCAGTTGTATTGGAAATCGGATCAGTATTGGCCAATATGCCTGCTTATCAAGTCGACTATTGTATTGACCCCCAAAATCTCAGTTGGTGTACCCCTAGTGTTTTTCAAATGGACATAGGTGTATATTTTACAATGAGCCTGTTATTGTCCAAGTGGAGAGAACGAATGGTCTCGTTCTTTCCTGTTTGTTAAGAATTATAGTAAAGTTTATTTTATTCTAAGTGATTAATTTACTAGGTGGCCTTCTGTGGACTAAATAGTTTACTTTCAAGAGAAGTATGTCAATACTAGACACAGCAGCCAGCACGGAGAGAGACAAAATAAGAAATTCTGTGTGTTTATTTCAACAAAGCTGATAACGCATATTTTTGCTTCAAATATTTATTAAACCAATTTTCATAAAGCAATAAAAATGCATCTTGACAGCTACTATGTATATCTGAGTTGTTACGGAACTGATTGATTCTCATCCTCCTTCCCTGTCCTCTATAGTTTAATGCGCCCCCCCGGTGCTATTTCTTAGGCTAGGGGGATGCTGTTTTTTGAGCAGTGCTTGTCTGTGGTGTGCTAGCATGCTGTGAGGACTGAGGAGGCCTGGAAGGCTCAGACACTTGGCTGGCTTAATAGACAAAATGTTCCGATCGTTGCTTTTGCATGAGAAATGTTGCATGCGGAGGAATGCTCTGCAGGCTTTACAGTTGTTTCAGTTTATCTGTGCTTCAGATGCCTTTGGAGGAAGGGACAACTGAAATTGGATGTGCTTTCTGTTTTCTTCTAAAGGTCCCAGTTTTGCCTTGACTCTTCCAGTGGCATCTCCAAAGGTGTTTCACTATATAACTACTGTGCAACAGCAGGATTTGGCTCCGGATGAGTCTGGGAATATCTTAGAATACCAAGCAGGAAATCTAAAAATCCGTCAAGCTCATGTACCTGGATCAGGCTGACACAAGGCAATTCTGTTTCACTGTCTGAAATGGGTGGTTAGCAGTATTAGTTTGAAATCAGGCAGAAGGCAGGTGGTACTTTAGACATTCTGAAAGAGATTGACTCAATAATAATAATAATATCAGCATCCTATCTATTTCTAATTCATACGAGCAAGGAGCTTTCTGTGATGTGATAGCAGATTAATGTATGTAATTATGTGGCAAAAACATAATGCAAAATTATATACTACCAGGCCTGTATAATCTTGATATGGGGTACAGTCACAGACAGGGGTGACTGGTGCCTCCTGAGTCTAGGGCGCACAATTTATGGGTGGGCCTGGGGGCGAGCCAAAAGCCCCATATCCACTCCTATACTTCTGTGCCGTGGCTTAGTGTCCCCCCTCCCCCAAACATGCAGCCTGCCCTCATGGCAAAAAAACTGGCCTGTCCTGAACAGTGGCAAGTTGGGGGCCAATCTCCACCCCTGTGCTCCCCTACCAGTCGCCTGCGGTCACAGAAACTAGAGCTCTTTTAATATCTTCTCCTTCCCTGATGTCAGTAACTAGTGGCCTCTTTCTCACTCAGGCTTCTTGGCATAGTTTGCCTACAGCAGCCACTAGCAGCTACTTTTGTCCGTCAGGGAGAATAGAGACATCATAGCTGGTAAATAGGCCGCTGGACAAGGGGTGAGGAGTTTGGAGTTCTCTCATTTCTGCTACTGGCTGCCAAGTGCCTTGCATAAGTCATTTGGCCTTATTTTGCAGGTGGTAGTGGGAGGTTGGGGAAGGGTACTTGTAAAACTCAGAAATTTCTATCTAGAAAGCTGATCATAAGAGTTGTACGTGTTGTGATAACTTTGATGAGCAGAGATGTAAGAAGCATTTTATATACTGGAGAGAAGCATCTAATTAGTAATGAGTGATATGCTTACTTGTCTATTCCAAGAATTTTTTAAAACAAAATACTCTTTCCAAACTATTTCTATTCAATACTACCTCTCATTACTTTAACATTGACTCATGAATTGGCTGTTGACTGAAAACTTGTTCATAAAAATAAAACAACCTTGCAGAACACTGATGTACGAAATATGGGTTGTCTTTCTGGTTCAAGAGCTTGCTGAAGTCTGTGATGAGTCTTTTTAATTTCAGTTTCACTCTTAGGTTTGGTTTTAAGTTCTTCCTCTTGGAAACACTCAGATGAGTGAGATTACTATTTTACGCTAATCTGAGAGATTAAGTGCCACTCTTGTCATATTGCTTTAGCAGACAATTGAAATATTTACATTTCAGGCAGCACTCATTTTCTACTTAAGCTTTAATCAGAAGGTTGTCATTGGTAACTGCAGTGTAAGTAGCTATCAATGATTGGGGAGTTAATCTGCCAAAACTGACATAGTGCAGTTGCTGGATAATTAAATGCACTTTATATTTCCATATTGGAAATTTACAGACGACGCTGGGGGAACTGTTTTTGGAAACAAGGGATACAAGTGACTCCAAAGACAGTTTCCCTGAAGAAAAGTAAAAATACTTGTATTTTGGTTCTTTTCTTGAGTTAGACCATAATTTATCTTGCAATATCTAATACAAATGTATTAATAAAAATGTTTGATATGTCTGATTTCTTCTTTTTCAGACTGTCATTTTACTCTGGGCATTCTTCATTCTCTATGTACTGCATGCTGTTCCTAGCAGTAAGTATATTAATTCCATCTAAGTTGGCACCAAAAAGTTTTTATTTTGTAGCACAGACCTGCACCTCTTGCTGCATCAGCATTTTCCTCTGACCTGCTTTGTGAAAGATTATCTGTAGGCTCTGGCTCTGAAATAGTTGAGGGTTGGCTCTGAATTAATTGAAATGAAGGATGCTTAGTGGTAGGCAAGGGAGGGAGACAACAGGAAGCTAGGATGGCAAAAGGTGGCAAAATAAGGTCCAGTTAGCAAGTTGAATAGGGATAAAAGGCATTTAACAAGCCAGTTGGCTCTTGTGCCCTGTCTCAATTGAACCTAATGACAGTGGGTTGGAAAATATGTTGCTACTTGAGTTTAGTTTGGTGGTTATGCTTTAAAGTATTTCAAGGGTATCAAAAATAGAAAATATATTTACAGTTGGATGCATCTGATTTCATGAAACATGCAAAGACTGTAAAGAAACTAAATTAACCCTAACTGACTGCTGGGCCTGCAAACAGGGTGCAATAGAATCATTTTAGCTTAAATTGCTCTTAGAACAATCTACTTGAAGCAGTGCTCAATGGGATGCTGGTGAGAGAAGCATTACACAATTTGTATGCAGACTTAAGTGTTCAGATTCTTTATCTGTAATGAGCCAAACAATAACTTAGACTCTAGTCTGATTCAGAGAGTGCTACATATCTCCTGTCACAGGACAGGCCTGGGTGACCATGAACTGTGTAATGCTCTGAGCTGCATTGGCTGTTTGCTAAGTTTTCCAAGGCAGCACTTAACTAGCTTGTATGTTTATATAATTTTTAGAATACACACAACCACGAGGTTGGCTAGGACTTGTATGTGCCTTTACAGATGAATAAGATTGTTCTCTTAAATTCTTCAGCGATGAAAAAAAACAAAAACAAAACCTTTATTTGATCAGCTGTGCCTTTTGGCCCTGTAGTTGCAGGGTGCTTGTCATCTGCCTGTTCAGATCCCATTTGTTCTTTGGGCTCTATTTTGGGCACTCCTAACCCTAGACTTTCCTGGAAAAGTAAAAGTAATCTAAATACTTTCTCTGAGAGCAAGTTGCTCACAGCCATATTTGTAACTTGAAGTTCTCTGAGTGATTAGGGAACTGGTTTAAACAAATTTCTTCTTGCCCAGAGAGCTGCTGATTTACTCAGAACATTGGTAGCATTGTACTCAGTGGATTGTGAATCTTATTTCAGGACATGCCATCCAGGTGATCCCGTGCAAATGGATAGATTTCCTAAGCTTCCTGTTAAGACAAACTTGAAAATAATTTAGCAAAAAAAGAAACTGTTCAGGATCAGGTAGTTCTCTCCCATCCTCAACATATAAAACAGTCCAGAGAACGGCTTTGGTTTAAAGTATCTAGGGCAATGTAGGACATTTCCAGAGACTGTAAGTGATACAATGAGAGCCCTAGTCACACTTGACAGGTAATGAAAAATGCACAACTGAACTTAGATGCCAGCAACTTCCAATCTATACAGTAGCAGCTTAATCAAATCTTTTGGTGAAAAGCCAAATGGTGGTGAGGGACTAACCATCAAAGTGCCCTGTGCACAATAAGTCCTCAGATGACCCCTCCCAGAAAGAAAGGCCGTGTAGAATAATATTATAAGTGTAAACTGCTCTCGAGTGAATTCCAGAGTCAAGGAGTTCCAGCACTGCCCTCCACTCTTGTCTTGGCAGGGCTGCCTCTTGAATGCAGGTTGTGCTCACCTGAACTGTGGCAGCTAATGAGAGAAGAGACCAAGTTATTTATGTCAGGAATTTGAGGAGGTACAACTTCGCATCTATTTTAGTAGTGTGGCACCCGGGCATTTAACCTGCACAGCACTAGAAGTACTAACCTTGAAATACAGTAGGGGTTTTTTTTCTTAGATTTGGGAAATGTCTAATATCTCCAGATAGAGCTACCGAAGAGATGATTCTCTCCACACTGGGAACAGGCATAAACAAGTTTAAATATGGTAGATGATGGGAAGATTTTTGCTTCTGTTGCATTTTAGAGAGTAGAGCATAGCTTAAGAAGACAGACCCATTCAAGTTTTCCAGTCATTCCTTCCAACTATAGCATGGTTGTTCCTTACAGTATAGCTTCTGATGCTTTTTTTTAACAGTCCAGTTTAGAATTACAATATTTACTTGAATATAAGATGAGGTCCCCCCACCACCACCACGGGGGAAAAAGCCCCTCATCTTACATTCAGATACAATGAAACCACATTAAATGCATTGCCAGTCTTTGAGCTGCTGCTAAAAGTAGCATGTACTCAGTAATGAAAACCAACTATGAAATTTATTAAATGCAGCAGCCATCACTGAGCATGACCATAAAGTACATGGCTCAGTAAACATGCTGATAGTAACTTTTTTTTCTTGTGGCCCTTCAAAATGTGAGCATGTGATCCCCCCTCAGGGAACAGTCGCCAGGCCTGGTGCTGGAAGGGCCAGAGCCAGCCCTGACACCCTCTTGTTGATGCCAAAAATGCTACATTTGACCTTAACCAAAAAGGCCAAGATGCTAATAGGAACCTACCACTTTTTTTTTCTTTTTGAAATTGTGTCCTGGGCTAAATCAGCCCCTAATTCTATCAACTGAGCACAGCTCAGTCATTCAAGTCTGTGTGGTGCTACTACTGGCAAGTATCCTACCTCTCAGACTCTTCAGCCTGGGGCTTCAGATACAGTACTCCCAAATTCATGGCAGGCATCCTGTGTGCAAGCCCAGGGGCCTTTGGAGTTCAGATGCTCCCTAGTCTCACTTGCCTCTAGTGAAAAGGCTGAAGGAGCAAGCTAGAGGGACAGCCTGAGAGCAGTCCTCATCACCATAAATTATGTAGCTGAAATCATCACATTTGGAGGCATGTATAGATTCTGGCAGGGGTCAGCCTGCTCACAGTGCAAGGGACAGGTCTTCACCCTCTAACTACACCAAGCCATTCAAGGCCAAGAAGAAAAGCATCATCCCTGCCGGGCAAGCAAAACCACCTAGGACAAATCTACCACAAGGATAGGTTAATGCAACCCATCCAAATAAGACATATGGTAGTGTCCATTGAGTGCAGTCCCCTTCAGTGCTGACTTGTTTTTCAAGTCATGGTGAGACACTACATTGTATACATTTTGACTTCCTCTTCACTCCCACTGCTGAGCTGAGCCTGCCTTTCCCATTTCCAATGACTCCTGTTTCTTCAGCAGCCTCAAATGTCTGGCAAGCGTCACCAAGCAGGGCCTCAAACAGTTTACTCAGAATCCTTCTGTTGGCCCCTCTCTCAGCCTATTGCATATGATTAGTGACTCTGCCCTCCATGAAGTGAAGCTGGACTAGGTAGCCCTGTGCCTCATCTGCATATACATTTTTAGAAGACCCCAGAACATCGTGAGTGGGGGCTAATTAGTACATTGATCCTTTGTGGAGGTGTACCTGGAGTACACAGAATACTGGGCAGTGCTGAACTGTGGGGTCATCATGGTTGGAAATGCCGCTGTCTCTGGTGGGGCCTGGCCCAATGGCTTTCAACTAATATTGTGCATAGTTTATACTATGTATAAATAGGTACAAAAGGCCTGCTTAAAAGTATGGTTATGGAGTACCTGTGCTAAAACTTATAGCAGTTTCAAAAAAAGGTAAAGTGCATCAATTCTGGGTAAATGAAGTCTATGGGCACTATTTGCAAATTGCTACAGGTATGTTTATTGCAAGGTCAGCTTTTTAAATTTGTTCCTCATTTCCATGTGCCCAGGGAGAGCAGGGTCTGACAGTAAAGATGGGGAGGAATGTGCTTCAGGGAGCAAGGGTGGGGGTGCAAAGGGGTTGCCTGATCCCCCAGATGAATTTATCAACCTCCAACTGCTACAGTAGGTAAAATCTAAGACAAACCTCCAATAATTAGATTCCATCAGATTTATAAATTTTCCCTATATAAAATCTAATTATTGGGGGGGCATCTTATAGTCAGGGTAATCTTATATTTGAGTAAATATGGTAGTTCAATCTAGAAACATCTGATTAAAACTGAAATAGATCAGTGTCAAATGAGTTCTGCCATGGATTAATTTCTGTTCCGTCTCCCTTCTCACCATCCCAGTGCAAATCAAACAAAAACTAAAACTTTGGGGATAATGAGAAAAAAGCAAGCAGCCTAATTGTTGATGTAAAAGGGATTAAAATAATGTTTTGAGAGTCTCATTAACTTGCATAACATAAGGCTTTGATTGTGGGCTTAAATGTATGCACTTGCAAATTCCTAATGTGATGTATGCCATGTATGAATTCCAGATGACAGCTTTGCAAGCCGTGGATTAAATTCATTTCTTCAGCTTGTCTGCATCCTGCAAAATTTTCATCTTACTTTACTTTTGGGACTAGAGTAGTATCATCCACAGCAGATGGACAGTTTAGTGAAAAATGGAATTTTAAGCTTTGTTTGCTTGCTTGTTTGTTTTGTTTTTAAACAAAGCCAAAAAACTACAAGTTTCTCAATAAGGCATAAAGGGACGTTTTTCAAACTTCTCTAGTGCATGGCTTTGGGAATTTGCTGTTGATTTATTGCACTCTCAAAAGTTTAAGCTTTAAAAAGCCTTGCATTCCATATAGGCACTACACCAGTGGTTAGGTCAGGATTGATTATGGAGAAGACTGTTTCATAGAATCATAGAAAATTAGGGTTGGAAGGGACCTCAGGAGGTCATCTAGTTCAACCCTCTGCTCAAGGCAGGACCATCCCCAGCTAGATCATCCCAGCCAGAGCTTTGTCTAGCTGGGTCTTAAAAACCTCCACCACCCCTGTGGGTAACCTGTTCCAGTGTTTTACTACCCTCCTAGTAAGAAATATCTCCCTAATACCTACCTAAACTTCCCTTACTGCAACTTGAGACTCTTG